GAAATGTAGAATTAGGCTAATAAATTGGTAACATTGAAAGACAAATTTATGGATGTAACTTTTGAATAAGAAGATTTATCAAAAATCTGAGATACATTTTAAAGTTCAATCTTTTATCTACATTGAGGAAAATTTTGACTTTGAGAGGTGGAATACAAAAAAGTTGATTTATAAAATATAAATTTATGCACTAATATTTACATTAAAATATTAATAAGTTTTTAATAAGATAAAATTGAAAATTTAAATTAGGATTATTAAATAGTGAATTTAATAAGCTTTCAAATGATATATACTTTTAATATGTTATCTTTGTTAATGAAAGAATTACAAGCAAATTAATTTTTGCCTTTTGGAAACCTTTGGTGTATCCTTAATTCGCAGGAAATTAATGCGAAGTAAACTAATGTGAATCAAATTAATGCGAATTAAGTTGTGTTCACACGACAGCTAATGCGAAGTAAACTAATGCGAATTAAAATTTTCTTCTACAGTCAGGCATCAGTAAGTCTTTTATGACGTCATTTGTAAATCACGTCACATATGCAGAGCCATTCTTTGATACATCATGTAGTGGCTACAGGTATTCATTGATTTTAGTGATTAACATATTTTCCCTCAATATTTGAACCAATTATAGCACAAATACCTACATATAACCACCAACACGTGTCCTGTGACTTAATTCTGGCCTTATGCATGCGTCAAAATTTAATTCAAATTAGCTTCGCTTAGTGTTCACACGGAGCTAATGGGAAGTAATTTAATGGGCAGTAAATTAATTCAATTAAACTAATTCGCATTAAATTATCCGTGTGAACGCTAGGAAAAGCTAATTCGCAGTAACTTTACGTTTAATTTGAATTAAACTTTCCGTGTGAACAGGGCATTAAATTGAAAGAAGTAACTGAAAACTTGCTTAGGCAAGAGAGATAAAATGTGTTATTTAAGAAGAATTTAATGTTTCTTAGGTCTTTTTGGAATGATGTCAATTAATTCTTTTTTTCCCTTTTAAACATATTTACAGGACCCAAACACAATAATAAGTCTGTACAATGCTGTGATTGTCTATTTACAACAAGTACTGACATCCCCAGAACTGTCTGGTTATTCCTGGCCAGTCAGTGAATTCACTCACTCTAAGATGCATGGTAAGTTATGTGTGTATACTGAAAGTCAGAGCTGCTTCAACTCTCTGTCATCATATTTGATTTTAAATACAAGAATATAACATTTATGTTTGTATGAATTATAGGGCTGGAATCAGATATCGAGATATCGATATATTGTGATATCTTTGAGGATGATACACCATATCAATACGTTTAAAAAAATATCGAAATATCGCCCAAAAAACATCTAGTGACTTCTGTTTTTTCTTTGTTTATTTAACATTTAGGGTTTAATATATAACATAAATAAGTTAAATATAAATATAGGAATGAGATAAATAATAATTAACACCACTTGAGTAAAATATTTTTGTTTTACAACATATTATTGTTTCTTAATTGCTGGTATATAAACACGAATTCCATCTCTCAAAAAATTATATTCATTTCGTTCTATTTGTATCTGTGTACATGTCAATAAATTATTGACATCAAATGCATTTTTACTTTCGTAGACTGGTGTTGAAATTCTTTCGAGACAGCTTTTGGTTGTTTTTCTATTATACATGAATGGAATATACCATGCTTCAAGACTTTCCTGAAAGGTCAGGGAAACTCCTTGTAAATTAATTGTTAGTTTTGGTAAATTCATCACATGTTCTTCTGTAATTGTTCGATTTAATGAATCTGGAAACAAAGCATTGATGCGCATCTGAAGATAAATCATGGCTTCTTCTTCGATGGTCAGATTTTGAAGTGAGATTTTCAGTTCGTTGCAAGGTTTGTTTGAATAAAAATAATAATCGATGAATTCAGTGTACCCTTCGGTTATTTCAGGTTGAATAAACTTCTTGAGATTTTCAAGAATTGAGTAAATGTTGCTCTCGCTTGAATTTGAAAATATAGAAATTTTAAAGGCCATGGTGTAACTCACAAGCTGGGTTTCTGTGATAAAGAACTGACACGAAGAATCTTGTAAATATTTTCCAGGTGAACAATAGAGCTTCCTACATGTTTTCTGCAAAAGAACAAACGGTAACTTCTATTAAAATTTAAAATCAAATTGCATATCATCCCATCATTTGAAAAAAAAAAACGATAAGCGTTAATTGTTCTTTGTACACAAAGTTTGATTTTTTTTTTTTCAAAAATGATGTAAAAAATCATAATTTTTCAGAATTTATAGATGGGATAATTCAGTATTTTGAACGATGACTTAGCCTATAAATTTTTCATCTTTACATTAACATACTTTTAATTGTATATTACTAATTTAACAGTCATGTTACTTAAAGATGCTGTAAAGAATTACTTTTGACTTAGAAAAACAATTGGTTTTTTTAAAAACAAAAATATGATTAAAATGGTTTTTACCGTAAAAACATCCAAAAATTCTGATTCTTTGCATTCGGTAGTTGTCTGTTCATCTCTTTCTTCTGTGTCAAAGATAGAAAATATATTTCGATAGGACCGCATGCCAGATACAGGATCAAGTTTACCACCACCTTTATCGAATGGGTTACATTGCATACAGAAAATATTCTCGTATGGATAATAATCTAAATCTAATTCTCCGTATTCGCAGATTGTCCCTAAATAATCAAAATCAGGGTCAGTACATACTCCTAATGGTTCTTCGTAGACTTCAGTGTTGCATACGTCACATATTTGGTTCTTGTACAGATAATTACGGGATTTTGCCATAATATTCATAAGTGGATCTTCACACATCGTTAAAACATCTTGACTGACTGATTCGACCATTCCAGTGGCGTTGCACTTTTGTATTATTGAAAAGTTATTCTCATCGCAAAATTCTAAATGAAATATCGTAGTGAAATAAATAAAACATTGCTTTGATTTAGCAGCCTGGAGCAAAAGGGCGATCGATGGAACAAACATAGGGAAAAGCAAACTGGGACAAACAATAGTGATGTTCCAGGCCTTGATCTCTGTTGTGGTGTTCTTGAAAATATCTTCCTGGTGGTGACAGAGGTAACAATAATGGTTCTTATATGCTTCTTTTGTCTTCACATTAATAACAGGAATATCGAAAATCTCAAAATCCAACGATTTCTCGCAATTTGATTTGATAAAAACATCTTCATATTGTTTTGGGCATCTGCTTATAACGAAAAATGCTTCATTGGGTTTTGGGTCATCCTTCTGTCCCAAAAATGGTAGAAAACACGCCATTGTGTGATTATACGCTGCGTCAGGACAGCAGGAGGCAGATTTATAACAGTTCTGGTCACATGTACAATTTCTTCGGCTTCTGAAACCAGGATGAATTTTTTGGACTTGGTGGTCTTCCTGGCACCAATCTTGGTATCCACCGGACCTGACGTATTCCGTAAACAAAGCAGTCATATTCACAAGGTTCTCCGATATTTTCGAGTCACTTGTTTGGTTTCTTTCCTTCAGCATTTGTTTGACATTTTCCAAAACATCCAAGGACAGCAATGTTAATTTTGCCTTATATTGTTTATTAAATTTATTCCATTCTTCTATTATCGTTACACCTTCATCGAAAAAATCTTGTTGTATGGTCATGTTTCCTTTATATATGTTGTATTGTGTTCTATAGAGTTTTCTTTGGTCGACGCCTGTATTACAAAGGAAGCAGAAGACATTTTGAAACACACCATATTGGTTCCAATAATTTTTGCAGGCAGTTTCTAGGTCCTCGTCAAAGACATCCCATTCACCGGTGACATTACATTCCGAAACCAGAGACCGTATTTTGCACAGAGCCAGGCTACTTCCTGGTGGAGGGAAATACTCTAAGACACAGTCATATTCATTCATACCTTCCCACAACCCATCAACATCAGAATATATGTTTACATCGAAATCTTTTTGAAAACAAATGACAGAGGACGGCCATTCAATAAATTCACTTTCTCCATGACACTTGGCACATTTAGCATTCGCATAGGTGATGTTAGTTTTCAGTGAGATAACAGGTGCAAGATGTTGAAAACTGCTTGGGTTTAAGTCCAAGAGGCAGTCATCTTCCAGGTAACCGTATCGTTGGGGGCATGCGGAAACCATCATGAATCTGTCTGATTCCACATAATATTTTTGATTCAAAAAATAATCTGGTTGAATGCATTTGCTTAAGGATTTATCTGGGCAGCACTGGCCTTTCACTTCACAATCATGCGTACAAAGGCAAACAGGACAATTCTGCTTTTCACTGCTTTCACTGGTCGAGGCATTAGTTTTGTTCATTTCGGAGCATAGAAAACCACTGTCACAGTGATCTAGGTAATTTGAATGCAGATTTGTCATATTCTTCACATGGAAAACCCAAGGCATAACTTGGATCGGCAAACAGAGAAAAATCGTCAAAAATTGACAATTTTTCATTCTGATAGTTAACCTGTAATGAATAAAAATGTATTATTATATTTGATTTTTCAATTAATGTTAAACCTTTTATATACACAGGACCCGACTGAGTAACTAAATGAACACACAAATTCTACGCTAAATATTAAGAACTGCCCAAACTACAGACTGCCAATCACTGCTAAATTAACCCGTTAATTGTGAACACTATGAATTCTGCATTTTCTCATGGCCAGCACTTCGGACATTCAATCCCCCTGAGACTCGGGTGATAAAAGTCAGCAATGCTGATACAAGAGCTAAATTTCCAGCCAAATCTTAATCAGCGGTCAAGACCTTATCACATAAACAGATCACTGCAGTCTGTAGCTTAGAGTAATTACTACAATTCAACAAGATTAAGATAATATAAATCAAGCATTAATTATACAAACAATTTCACACAAAATTTCACTTTAACACCTCCCTTCCAAAGATAAAAATTTAACTGTCAATAGTTGAATTTTTTTCCCAAGTTCATAATTCTGTATATAGCAACATTAAATTTAACCAGTCACTAAATTCACTTTAGCCAGTCCAAATAAGTATTAAACAGTTAATAGCAATTAATCATCAATGGAATAATATAAATCCAAAATGAATTTCACTGTAAATCCAAACTGAATGCACTTGAATTTTATGAATATAAAATTTTCACAAAAATTGCCCATAATTCACAAACACATTTCACTTTTCAGATTCTTGATAATCCGTCTGCATTTGTGTTTTTGCTTCCTCTCTTATATATAACTTCAAAGGTGTACGATTGTAGTGCGCGGGCCCAACGTAAAAGTCTCTGATTTTTATTCTTCAAGCGATGCAACCATGTTAGTGGATTGTGATCTGTTTCTACGTAAAACTTCCTCCCCTCTAGGTAATACGAAAACGATCCAATGGCCCAAACGATAGCTAATAATTCCTTCTCTATCGTTGAATAGTCCTTTTCCCTTGGAAGTAACTTCTTACTAAGGTAAGCAACTGGGTGATCACCATCTGGCATCTGTTCTAGGACAGCCCCAATTGCGTTATTACTCGCATCTGTTTGTAGTACAAACGGTAAATTGAAATTCGGATTGACCAAAACAGGAGCTGTCATCAGGGCCTCCTTCAGTTTCTTGAATGACTGCACTTCCCTCTCCGTCCATTTTAATTCTGCGGGCTGACTTTTTCTCGGTAGATCAGTCAGTGGTACAGTTATGTCCGCATAATTTCCTATATCTGGCGATAGTATCCAGTTAGCCCCAAGAATGATCTTAATTCTTTCTTTGTCAAGGGAAGCGGAAAATCCTCCATGGCCTTCAATTTCCGAGGGTCTGGTTGGAATTTGATCCCCCTCCAACTATATGTCCCAAACAGATGATTTCTGTTGCTCCCAACTTACATTTTGATGGTCTGATGGTAAGATTGGCCTCATGAATACGCTGAAGCAGCTCTGTTACATGTTTGATATGGTCTTCCCACGTCTGACTGTAAACAATTATGTCATCAAAGTACGCAACAGTATTTTGAGTTCCATCTAAAATACGATCCATAAGTCTTATGAATGATGCTGGAGACGTCTTCATACCAAACGGCATCACTGTAAACTCGAAAAGGCCAAATGGGGTGATGAAGGCGGATTTCTCGCGCGTTTCCTTTGCCAGCGGAACTTGCCAGTAGCCTTTTGTTAGATCAAATCTACTCAAATATTTTGCGCTTCCAATTTTCTCAAATACTTCACTCATGCGTGGAATGGGATAAGGATCCGTGAGAGTTATTTCATTCAGTTTCCTATAATCAACACAAATTCTAATTGTCCCATCAGGCTTATTGACAAGGACAATTGGTGAGGCCCACGGACTTTTGGATGGTGTAATAAGTCCTTGTTCTAACATTTCATTCAAAGACTCCTTCACTTCCTGTTTCTTAGCTTCCGGTATCCTGTAAGGTCTCTCAGTAATTGGATTCTCAGACATTGTTTTGATTGTATGTGAGATAACATCACACTTTCCCGGCTTTGATGTGAAAATTCTTGAAAATTTCTGACAAACATCCCTTAAACTCTGTCTCTGCACTTGAGTCAGCCCATGTCCAAAGACAAGATCTGAAATGGTTTCTGTGGTGTCGTTAGGAAATTGCTGTTCAATTCCAATTTCATTTTCTGTTCCTGCCAGTAATGTAGCCCGGTTATAAGGACGAAGTAAATTGATATGGTAGGTAACAAGTCCACATCGTCCTCCAACATTGAGTTTATAGTTAACATCATTTACCTTGTTAACCACACGAAATGGTCCTTTCCACTGAGCGGACATCTTGCCAGGTTCGGTCGGGAGTTAGAACGAGTACTTCATCACCAGGGCGCAAAGTCCTTTTGGATGCTGAGCGATCATACCAATCTTTGATCTTCGACTGCCTCATTTCCAAGTTGTTTTGCACGAGTTGTGTCACATCAGCCAGTTTGTTTCGGATGTTGACGACATGATCTATCTCTGATGTTTTTATTTCCTCCTCACCAGTCATGAAGCTCTTTAAAACACTAAGAGGACCACATACTGGCCATCCGTACAACAGGTCAAATGGTGAAAAACCAGTCTCCTCATGCGGGACTTCTCTGTACGCGAAAAGTACATAGGGAAGTAGTACATCCCAATCTTCGCCATTCTCCATACACAACTTTTTCAACATTGACTTTAACGTTCCATTAAATCTTTCAACTTTGCCATTTGCCTGCTGGTGATAAGGCGTTGTAGTTATTCCCTTGATTTTGATTTTCTCATATAAATCTTTCAGGAGCGCACTCGTGAAATTTGATCCTTGGTCAGTGAGAATAGTTTTAGGAATTCCAACTCGACTAAATAATGTAATGAGAGTGTCGGCTATTCGTTCAGCTTCACAACTTGGTAAAGCAAAAGCTTCTGGGTATCTCGTAGCTTCATCAATGACAGTCAGAATGTATTTGTTACCTTGAGTTGTCCTATTGAGTGGGCCAACGATGTCCATTGCGATCTTTGAAAACGGATCAGTTATGATAGGTGTGTTGACCATAGGAGCTCTTTCCGCAATTCTTTTTGCCACTTTTTGACAAGTGTCACATTCTGCGCAGTAGTCCGACACATCTTGGAACAATCCAGGCCAATAAAATGACGCAAGAATACGTTGTTTGGTCTTCTCAGTTCCTAAATGTCCAGCTATTGGCTGATCATGTGCCAGCTTCATCACTGCTTTTCTTAGCGATGCTGGAAGTACCACTTGTGTTCCCGACAGATTCTTTTCTTGGAAGTCCATTTTCGTTTCAATATGTCATTCTCCCAGTAAAACGCTTTATGTTCTGTCTCAGTTTGTGATACATTTTTGAATGCTTTATCCCTACAATTTTTGAGTGTTGGGTCTTGTTTCTGAAGTTTCGATAGTTTATTTCCATTCACCACGCTCAACTTTTCCAATGAAATTTCCGGTAAATCAAGGTTCACTTCACCAGCCTCATCGTCAGTTACCATGACGTTTAAGTCCCTTCGTACGACATCACATTTATTCATGCGATTTTTGGCACTTAATTCATTTTGTTCTTGTTCTTTTGCTTTGGCTCTCGTAACCACAGCTGCAACTTTGTTCCTCTCCAGAACATCTATTCCCAATAAACCATCTGCAACCAGATCAGGTACTAAACCTACCTGAACATGTCCCTTAAACATTGGTGTTTCCAGGTTAACCACAGCTAACTTAGCCTCGAATGGCTGTCCAATAGCTGTAACCAAGGAAGTAGTTTGTCCATGTAGAACACGTTTTGGATCAACAAGATCCTCCCGCAATAGCGTCATAGATGCTCCAGTGTCCTTGACCATTGACACTTCCACATCATCCACTTTCCCCGGAACATAATGTAAACCCCATAATGCTCCTTTCACGAAACACGACGCTAGATTACCTTTCTTTGGGCATTTGTTTGCATAATGTCCAAAGTTCCCACAGCTAAAACATTTCACTTTCCAAACTTTTCTGTTTTCCGGAGTTCCCCTGTTCCTGGCTCTTCTTCTCACCTAACACTTTAGGATTTTGAAGTTTTCTGTCCTCGGCCGATTTTGTCGGTAGAATGTAATCCTCAGCAGCTTCAACTAACTCACTACTTCCCTTATTCCGTCTAATCCACTGGGCTTGTTGAGGAGATAATGCCTTTAAGAAATACTCTTCTCGGAACTTTTGTACGTGATCTTTCTCATCAATGAAACGTCTCAAATACAGATCTATTCTCGACATTAATCCTCTGTAAGTTTCTCCTGGTCTACGTTTGATTTCCTCCAGGAACTGAAAGTAGTCTGCTGGGCGCTTGCCGAATCGATTCAAAAGAGCCTTATACAGATCTCTGTATCCCGAAGTCACTTGCTGCGACACTTCGAGCTTCTCCGGTTAAAAGTGACCTAAGCTGTAAAGCCTTTGAGTTCTCAGTCCAACCTGCATGCTCAGCTACCGCATCAAATTCAGAGAGATAGCACAAAATGTCATCCTTTTCCTGATTAAATGGTTGAAGTTTAATTTTTGGCATTCCTGTCGAATGTGCACCTGGTGTTGAATTGGCCTTCTCTAGCTGAACACGTAATTCCAAAATTTCTTTTTCATGTTCCAATTCAAGTGTTTTTAAACGTAATTCATGTTCCTGTTTTTGTTTAGAAAGTTGAAATTCCAATTCCAAGTCCTGTTTCCTAGGCATTTTAATTCCGCTTGTTAAATCCAAATATATGTATAAAATTTCAAACAATATTTCACATTTAATTAGGATCCTTTACCGCTGCCACCACTTAAAATGTTACACCGAAACTTTCTGTTTTTAAATAAAAACGCCCAAAGTTTCCAACAAAGTTTATTTTGTATTCCCGTGTAACACTTTACACACAGGACCCGACTGAGTAACTAAATGAACACACAAATTCTACGCTAAATATTAAGAACTGCCCAACCTACAGACTGCCAATCACTGCTAAATTAACCCGTTAATTGTGAACACTATGAATTCTGCATTTTCTCATGGCCAGCACTTCGGACATTCAATCCCCCTGAGACTCGGGTGATAAAAGTCAGCAATGCTGATACAAGAGCTAAATTTCCCAGCCAAATCTTAATGAGCGGTCAAGACCTTATCACATAAACAGATCACTGCAGTCTGTAGCTTAGAGCAATTACTACAATTCAACAAGATTAAGATAATATAAATCAAGCATTAATTATACAAACAATTTCACACAAAATTTCACTTTAACAAGTACTGAGACAGTACTGAAAGACGGGGTCAAAAAATCTTCATGCTAGATTTCACAAAATTAATGTGATTTTTTTTTTACGAGTTTTAATACCAACTTTATTTTTTCATTAACATACTAAAAACAAAACTATGAATAATATACATTCACATTTTTCATTTAATTTGATTTGAAGTAGAAATTTTAATAATTGCTCAGTCTGGAAACCTTTCTGAACTGCTCCGAATTTCATCAGGTACGAACTAATAATTTCTCCGGAAGTAAACAATGGATGATGCGTACACAGTCATAATAATACGCAGGATAGTACTTTGTCTACTAGTGTTATTTACAGTTAATATTTTCAGTTTTAAATTATCAAAATACTTTATTAGTTGAGTTAGACAAAGGTTCATATCAATTTCTTCAGTTTGATACAAAATGTTTATGTTTTGATCGAAACAATTTCTGCACTCTTTCGTATGCGTAGATTTAATTCATGTGTTATCACCACGGCTTCCATTTTCTATTTTTAGGCCTCTGAGAGTAAACTAAAAGACGGGGTCACATGACCCCGTCTAAAAATACAGTATTTTTAAAATTGCCCGCTGAAACCATACTTCATGTTCAAAATTTCATATTTTGTTCTCCTAGAATTAGAGTACTGCTGCGACAGACTCGTTTAGACTTCGAGGATACGTGTGACCTTCGTACAGGGGTCAGTCAGTGTAACCCAACCTACATCAACATGCCTTGGACGGATGTCATTATGGCCTGTGTTGAATTCAAGATCACTGTAGCTGACTTTACGGATCTAAATTTAGAGGTTTTTATTCATTAACTTTTTAGCTCACCTGAGCCGAAGGCTCAAGTGAGCTTTTCTGATCACATTTTGTCCGTCGTCCGTCTGTCTGTCCGTCTGTAAACTTTTCACATTTTCGACTTCTTCTCAAGAACCACTGGGCCAATTTTGACCAAACTTGGTACAAAGCATCCTTGGGTGAAGGGGAATTTAAATTGTTAAAATGAAGGGACATATCCCCTCGCAAGGGGAGATAATCAAGAAAAGAGAAAAATAGGGTTGGGTCATTAAAAAATCTTCTTCTCAAGAGCAACTGGGCCAGTAAATCTGAAACTTATGTGGAAGCATCCTGGTATAATGTAGATTCTAAATTGTTCAAATCATGACCCCCGGGGGAAGGGCGGGGCCACAATGGGGAATCAAAATTTTATATAGAAATATATAGGAAATATCTTTGAAAATCTTCTTCTCAAAAACCACTGGGCCAGAAAAAGTGAAGCTTATGTGGAAGCATTCTGGGGTAGTGTAAATTCTAAATTGTAGGAATCATGACCCCCGGGGGAAGGGGCCATTATAGGGGAATCAAAGTTTTACATAGAAATATATAGGAAAAATCTTTGAAAATCTTCTTCTCAAGAACCACTGGGCCAGAAAAGCTGAAACTTATGTGGAAGCATCCTGGTGTAGTGTAGATTCTAAATTGTTCAAATCATGACCCCCGGGGGAAGGACGGGGCCACAATGGGGTATCAAAGTTTTATCACTAACATTATTCATACTAAATTAAGGCACAACTGTGTATTGAACCAAGACTTATTCAAACGTAATATCATTGATAATCCTTATTGCTCTTGTGGTAAACAGGAAGATGCTCATCATTTTTTCTTTGTTTGTAAAAAATACCTTAATGCTAGAAGTAATCTTTTTGACTATCTTTTTCGACTTGATATAGACATCATAAATGTACACCTACTGCTATGGGGCAACGAAAATCTTTCAATATTTGAAGTAAACATTGGCATTTTTGCCGCTGTTTATAAATTTATAAATGAATCTTGTAGATTTAGCTAGATATATTATTGACTCTTATTTGTACAAGTTTTTTTTCTACTTTTTGCATGACAATTACTATGTGTTTATGTTAAGGAGAAGAACTAGTAAGTTGTTAACTTGTTTCTTATCCTTTTGCTTGTCAATAAAATATGTTCAAAACAAAACAAAGTTTTATATAGAAATATATAGGAAAAATCTTTGAAAATCTTCTTCTCAAGAACCACTGGGCCAGAAAAAGTGAAGCTTATGTGGAAGCATTCTGGGTAGTGTAAATTCTAAATTGTAGGAATCATGACCCCCGGGGGAAGGGCGGGGCCATTATAGGGGAATCAAAGTTTTACATAGAAATATATAGGAAAAATCTTTGTCAAGAACCACTGGGCCAGAAAAGCTGAAACTTATGTGGAAGCATCCTGGTGTAGTGTAGATTCATGACCCCCGGGGAAGGACGGGGCCACAATGGGGTATCAAAGTTTTATCACTAACATTATTCATACTAAATTAAGGCACAACTGTGTATTGAACCAAGACTTATTCAAACGTAATATCATTGATAATCCTTATTGCTCTTGTGGTAAACAGGAAGATGCTCATCATTTTTTCTTGTTTTGTAAAAAATACCTTAATGCTAGAAGTAATCTTTTTGACTATCTTTTTCGACTTGATATAGACATCATAAATGTACACCTACTGCTATGGGGCAACGAAAATCTTTCAATTGAAGTAAACATTGGCATTTTTGCCGCTGTTTTTATAAATTTATAAATGAATCTTGTAGATTTAGCTAGATATATTATTGACTCTTATTTGTACAAGTTTTAGCTACTATTTTGCATGACAATTACTATGTGTTTATTTTAAGGAGAAGAACTAGTAGAACTTGTTTCTTATCCTTTTGCTTGTCAATAAAATATGTTCAAAACAAAACAAAGTTTTATATAGAAATATATAGGAAAAATCTTTGAAAATCTTCTTCTCAAGAACCACTGGGCCAGAAAAAGTGAAGCTTATGTGGAAGCATTCTGGGGTAGTGTAAATTCTAAATTGTAGGAATCATGACCCCCGGGGGAAAGGCGGGG